TGAGGACCCAGATTATTGGGGGCAAATATGCTGACTCTGTAAACCACTTAGAGAGACCTGTAAAGTAGTGCGAAGTGGTATACAAGTCTAAGTGCTGTTGCTATTGCCCTTCCTTCTATCCATCCATCCATCCATCCATCCATCCATCCATCCATCCATCCATCCATCCATCCACGAATGATGCACAGTGGTTAGAATGCAGCATTGCAGGCCAATTCTGCCAGCTGCCAGCAGTTTGATCCTCACCAGCTCAAGTTTGACTCAGAATTTGCACGCTTCCGGGGTCAGTAAAATGAGGATCCAGATTGTGGGGGGCAACATGCTGACTCTGTAAACCACTTAGGCTGTAAAACACTGTGTAGCTGTATATAAGTCTAAGTGCTTTTGTTATTTATATTGCTAAACATTAATTTGCAGGTGTGAAAAGCTTTGCTAGCAAATGTCCTACTCATGAAGCCTTTAACATGTCTCCCACCTGATTCAGCATTCTGGTTGTTGCTGAAGTGATTTTCCCAGCTTGGTGCCCTGGACAAATGTTGCACAGCCCAAAGGCATGTTTCTAAATATGCAGATGAAGTAAGTCATGTGTAAATGAGACTGTGAAATTGCCATTTCTGCAATTCTCTAGAAAAGATTTCCCAAGGCAGCAGCATATGTCTTGCCAGACAAAGGTGTGTTTTGTAATGGCATAATACAGTTGTGCAATTGCAGTACTAAGTACTGTAATTCAAAAAAAATTTGGCTCCCTCCATTGGCAACAAATGCTGAGTGCAGGGCATGGAAAAATAACTGGAAGGACCACGGTAAGTGTAAGTGTGAGTGTGTGTGTGCATTTTGCAATTTAAAAACCAGCCATAAAAGCCAAGTAACATTTAGGAAAATCAGAAATCTAATTCACAAGCTTAATCTATTTAAATGAAAGTCCTACAATATTGCAAAGTGCGCATATCTCTCACGAGCGTAAACAAGACCAGCTTTTAAAAAAAACTAACCATTTAAATGATTTTAACATTTTAAAATTGTGTTTGGTTTAATTTTGTAATGTACAATAACTGGCTGTGCCCTAACCTACAAATCAAATTCAAATCTACTTAAGCCCCTTGAGGAGTCCTTGGGACTCTGCTTGTTATCTTGCAGACGTTTTATTCCCCAATCATTCATTCCCCATCAGTGCTAGCTGATGATGTTACCTAGTTGGGTAATGAAATGTCTGCAAGAAAACAAGCAAGCTCAGAGAGCCCCCAAGGACCCCACAGTCCTCTTCCTCTTCCTCTTCCTCCTCCTCCTCCTCTCATTCATTCCCCATCAGTGCTAGCTGATGATGTTATCTAGTTGGGTAATGAAATGTCTGCCAGAAAACAAGCAATTACCACACATACATGTCTGTGAGAAGACCCTGGAGATTGCTAGATACATCCTTGCATTTTTCTTGGCAGGATTTCAGTAGTTGTTTGCCATTGCCAGCTTCCTAGCTCTGAGAAAGCCAGACTAGTCCAAGATCACTCAGCTGACTTTGGGCCTAAGGCAAGAGCAGAACTCATGGACCCTCAATCTCTAGCCTCATCCATTCACCAGCCTGGCTCTCTAAATAATCTATGGTGTTCCCGAAAGGTGGTACCTTGGTACTCAACTGCTTTGAAACTCATCGAATTTGGTATTCGACACATTTTGACGTGAAATTTTTCTCCCGGTCCTCATCGTTTGTTTGGTATTCAATGCACAAGCTAGAACTTGTCGGTGTCGGCTGCCTTGTGGCTCACTACATTATTCCTTATGGGGGAAAAAATTGTTTGGTGCTGATTGTTTTTGGTGCTCATTGTACCTCACAGAACGAATTAACAATGAGTAACCGAGGTATCGCTGTGTTATGAAAAAGTTCTTTAGCATGACGAAGTCTGCTAGCAACACCAAATTCTTTAGACTGGTTCAAGCAGCACCAAAAAGAACTCTTCAAACTAGAGGAAAGGACTTCAAATAGCAAATCAATGTCTTGAGCAAGTGAAGAGCAATAACGGTCTTTGGACAAAATGCACACACAAGCAAGTCCCTGGTAATAACCAACCAAGGCAGATCCTCGGATTACAATGTGGAGGTCAACTCAATGTAAACATCAACTCAGAGAAGAGCTGTTGTGAAAAGGAAGATGAGGGAAGGAATTGCAAACAGAAACAGCCAGGACCATCATGTCTTTAAGAAAAGCTGTTTGTTTTTTTTTTTTTAGCAAAAGGGTGCACAGTGAAGAAGCAGAAAAATCAGAAGGCTTGACCAAATTTAAACAAGAGCGATTTCTCTATGAATAGTAGGCAAACCTAGGTAGAGTTTTGTTTTTAATAGAAAACAATTTATGAAAGAATTGGAATCAGAATCAAATATAATCATAATTGTAATCATAACTGTAATCATAATTATAATTATAATAGAATTGGAAGGGACCTTGGAGGTCATCTAGTCCAACCCCCTGCTCAGGCAGGAAACCCTAGACCATTTCAGACAAATGGCTGTCCAGTCTCTTCTTAAAAACTTCGTGTTGGAGCACTGCTGTCTGTTATTAAGTTTAACATATTTTTTTTAATATCGTTCTTTTTTGGTTTTCATCATTTTTTTTTCTCTTTTGTTTAACTGTGGTTTTCTGAATGTATTGCGGTAGTTTGTCACTGTAGCGGGGGGGGAGAGAGAAGTATATCTTTAATAGATTTTTTCAAGAGAGTAAAAGTGTATAAAACAAAAAAAGAGGGGGGGGAGAAAAAAGGAATGAAAAAAGCAAAAAAGAATAAAAAAGAGATTCATTTATGCCCTCTTCCCTTCTTTCCCTCAAGTAATTATCATCTTATTCTTCTTCCCATCCTCTTCGGCTTCTTTTAATGGCCTTGTCTGCATTTTGTATTCTGAAAAATAGCCGAAATAAATAACTTCCTAACAAACTTCCTGACAGTTAGAACAATAAACCAGTGGAACCAACCTGCCTCCAGAAGCGGTGAATGCTCCAACACTGGAAGTTTTTAAGAAGAGACTGGAGAGCCATTTGTACGAAATGCTATAGGGTTTCCTGCCTGAGCAGGGGGTTGGACTTGATGATCTCCAAGGTCCCTTCCAACTACTACTACTACTACTACTACTACTACTACTACTACTACTACTACTACTACTGTTGTTATTACTACTACTGCTACTACAGAAGAAGAAGAAGAAGAAGAGCTAGTTCTGATCCAGCTCTCAGCTAATCATCTCCTAAGTCACACCAAAAAGATAAGCCAAGCAGAACAGTCAGGTGCCTTTCTGCATTCTTTCCAAAGTGTCTACAGGATGAGTACCTGGACCCAACCTTCCTTATCTCCTCAGTACAGGTGAGCTCCGGCTTCAGCTTCCTTGTTTTGTTATGATCCTTTTTTTAAAGTCGTCACCAGGAGGCAGCAGATATCCACGCCATGAAAAGGAGACCACAAGTGCTGGCTATTTGCTCCAGGTAACCTGGCTAGGCTACCTCTGCGACAGGAAGAACAGGTGTAACAGGCCACACGTGAAATGTACAGCAAACATAGTGTAATAATTAGCATTGCAGAATATTGTGCAACAAGCTTTTCATGAGAAAACATTTCCGGAAGCTAGTGGGTTCGGACACTTCTTCGGGCACTTTTTAGTATTTCACGTACTTAACGTTTTAAGGTCTTATACTTGGGGAAATGGAAATGGGCTGATCACATAACAAGACGAACCAATGGCAGGTGGACCAAGGCAGTCATAGAATGGATCCTGCTTGATAAAAAGTGTCCACGAAAGAGACCTTTATTGCCATGGGTGGAGAAGTACAAGCAGTCTTTGACGTAGCACCACAATTGAGTCCAACATTTCTCTTGCCAAGTGAGACATTTGTTAAGTGAATTCTGCCCCATTTTATAACCTTTCTTGCCACAATTATGAAGTGAATCCCTGCAGTTGTTAAGTTAGTAACACGGCTGTTAAGTGAAACCGGCTTCCCCATTGACGTTGCTCACCAGAAGATTGCAAAAGGTGATCACGTGATTCCGGGACACTGCAGGATTTCCATTCGTGGACTCCCCCCTACTGTTTCTCTTAGCTTGTTGAAGTCAGCTCTCTTGAAATCTAGAAATCTAGCTACTTTGAGTTCTCCTTGCCTGCAGTAGGGAATTTATGCTCATTCTCTCCCTAGATCCCTCTTACTTTCTCTTCTTTGACTACTACTTAATTTTAGTAAACATTAAGTTTCAATATGGATGATCTTCTAGTTCCTTTCTCCACCTTTTGGATTAAAAAAAAATTGGCTGAAAGGCACATCAAAAACCTGTGGGAGCTCAATTTGATTCCCAATTGATATCAAGGTAGTTGAAATTCCATGTTATCACAGGTGTGTGTGTGTGTGTAAAAGATACTTTGGTCATCTGATTTGCAAAGACTTCATCTATGACTTCTGCTTGTAGTCCACACCCACAAATAATTCTACTTTGGTTTTCTTTTCCCCTTAATACTCAACCAGATACTTTCAGGAGAGTTTTCATCCTTGGGATCACGAAAGAGAGTCCACAGGATGTAGTGTTGACAGTGTTGGATTAAAAATGGGGAGACACAGTAAAGGTGAAGCCTTCTTTCAATCAAACTCAACTCCTGGTGATGACTATTGGGTTCTTCCAAGGTTTTAATTCCAATTTCACAGCTACAGTCCTGGGATTTTCGGCTGGTATCTCCATTCCAGTTGAGCTTTTTGAGATGAACAAAGGTCAGCCAGACTGTCATCAAGTTACAGCAGGTAAAACTGGGGAGATCCAAGTTTTAAAAACTCACCTCAAAGGAGTTATTAGAAAATCATGGGATATTTTTCTCTCTGTAGCTTAGATTACTGTTAATTTTTAAGTCTGGAACTTGCACTGTTGATGATCTTCTGGCTGTCACTCTCCAAAAAAGTTCGGCTTCTGCTTTCAGTTTAGAAATCTAAGACACATCTCCATTTTCTTTCATAATAATGATGTAGCTGTGTGGTTTAGTCTCTCAAAAATAGGAAAACCAAGGCTCAGCAGAAAACAAAGAGGATGTGAAACCGTGATTGAAGATCTCTCAGTGCTGGCAGCGTAGAGAGAGTTGAGGCATTTTCTGTCATCTTCTACTCTGATGAAGAGGCCAGCCCTCTTGCTGCTCCAGATGTAGAGGACGATATGCACCCTGAATAACAACTGGATAAATCCAATCTGTGGGCTAGATCAAAATGACTCCACCTACAGAAATTGAAGATTACCTGCCAATGTCAGTGGCAAAGATTTTCATCTGTCTGATCCTGAGTTTTTCCTTTGTCCTTGGAATCCCTGGAAATTCTTTGGTCATCTGGACCATTTGTGGACGAATGAAGAGGAAGCCTCCAACCGTTGTGCTCATCCTACAACTGGCCGTGGCTGATCTCCTGATTCTTCTGACCCTGCCAATCTGGATCTATTCTTTTGCCAACCAGTGGCCCTTTGGGATCGGCGCCTGCAAAGGTCTGGTGTTTGTCATTTACTGTAGCTTGTATGCCAGCGTCTTCTTCATCATGTGTCTCAGTCTTGAGCGGTTCCTGGCTGTCGTTCATCCCTTTGCTCTTCAGCGATGGAAGAAGACGATGGTCATCCACCTGGTGGTGGTCATGATCTGGTTCTTCTCCATCGTCCTTGGATCAGCTATCATCCCATTTCAGACCATCAATGACACCATAGGGGACCTGCAGTGTGCCACTCGTGAGTATGCAACTGAAGCTCAAGCTGTTATCCACCTCTTGTCTGAGACCATTTTGGGCTTCGTAGTTCCCTTCACCGTCATCTGCACCTGCTACATCTACGTGGGCAAAAGAATTGGGGCCATGGCTTGTCCATCCAAGCGACGCTCCACCAAGTTGATTACATCCGTGGTAGTGATTTTTTGTCTGTGTTGGTTCCCCCACCACTTTTTCAACCTCGTGACAGTCATCTCAGTTCTGCTGCAGGACTCAAATTCAGAGACCGCTCAAACCTTGGAGAAGATTTCAGAGGCAGGAGTGTGGATTGCGGGCGCAGTTATTTTTATTAGCAGTTGCATCAACCCGCTCCTCTATGCTTTTGCTGCTAGGAACATTCAAAGCAGTGCCAGGTTTACAAAGTTGTCCAAACTCTTCGAACAAGTGGCCCCTTCGGAGAGGCAGGAGCCCAACCTGGAAACAACTTCTCCAGATGAAAAAGAGGAAAGTTTGACAAGCACAGAGATTGTCTAGTGCCAACGCCAGGAAAAGTGTCCTCAGCCTATAGCAAGGACTTTCCCTAAAATTTAGACACCATTCTTGGCTTTTGATGAGTTTTTAATCAACCATCTAAATCCTACTCAGATTTGTTAATATGAAAACTGCCACATTTCTCTTGATTTTTTTTTCTAGACTGGGTTCTATATTTGTGTGCTACTTGGGTGTAGAATTCTGTGCAGTTTTGCACAGTACACAGCTCCAAATATCTGTTAGGTTTTAGATCTTCAGAAAGGAGGGACGGAACCATGCACTCCAAAAGTGATGGGTGTCACAACTGTATGAAGCCATTTGTGAATGTAACGTAATGCAATTAAATGCACTCTGGCTTTGTCACTCCACTCTTGGACTGTGATCCTGCTTAGACAAATAAAAATAGGATCGTCTTTAAAGATTCTTTTTCTAAGGAGGATCTGTGGTACATTATTGATTATGGCTCTTAACAATATCCAGATAGTTTCTCCAGCCCAGTATTTCCTGCTATTGGTTCAACTTCACAAGTGCTGGAGAAATCAAAAACTTTGCTCAATATTCTACGATTTGTTGATATTTTTGTATTGGTTCTAATGAAGGTAATTGGTCAACTGGTAATTGGTCAAAAACATCTCTTATCTGCTTTTTGTACAAAAGGAGTTTATTGATTAATGAGGTTTGAGCTAATTAGATGTTTTGGCATATATTTTGGCATGATAAATAAAATATGAGTTTGGGGGCTGAGTCCCACAAGGTGTAACAGCATAATGTTTTTCTAGGGAAAATTTCCTTTGCCAATGAACTATCTGATTTATTGTATAATTATCGGATGTATTATAATTATTTTTAAATTTAAATTTAAACCTCCAGATTACACCCTTTCCCCTCACTCATGCAAATTACTGGGCAATCTTTTATGAAAGGAGTGAAAACTATCACAACCAGGAAAACATGGACAGCTTAGTCTCATCTGATTCAAATATGGTTTACCCCCATGAGGCTGATAGAAGGCGTGCTTGATTTTTAGGAAACTCCAATGAATTTCCTAGAATCACGTTCAGGATCTTCTCAAATTGTTCAATAAAGTGAGCTTTATTGATGCACAGAGCGTCAAGTGAACAGTTGAAATTCCCCTCCAGAGTTGCATAACTTTTCATCCATTAGAGGAACAGAAAACTCACAGCTTGATGGATCAAACATCCCTTAGTTTGTGGTAGTGCTGCTATAAATGCTTTGTCCATGGCTACTAGTTTTGGAATTTCAGTAGATGTTTACCAGTTTTCTTGCATGTTGGATTTTACTGGAAATTCTTTCATCTCATAGTTTTATTTGGGTAGTGATTTGTTTGGTTTGGATTGGTGTGTGTATGTGTGTGTAGGATCTGCTTTTGTAATTTAGTACACTGGCATTTTTTTCTTTTTGTAAACTTCTGAAGATTGTGACCATCAGATTGTGACTTTATTAAAATTTAATAAATAAACCATTATTTCCTTTAAATTGCACTCTGCCATATGGATGTCATTGGCTATGGATCTTTCAAGTTGTTCTGATTTAGAAAGAGTGACAAATCTACAGTGATTTGTTCAAATGTTTACATCATGTTATGGTGGAAGAACAAAGCCCAGAATAAAATCAGTAACATTGCAGAAGGGCATAAAATAACTTGAGGAGATGGATTCTCACTAGTTGGCTGAACATGAATCCCATTAGAACCAAGCATAATTCACAAACTATAATTTAATGTGCCTTAAACATTCCCTTTTCAACCTCTATTTTTGAACGATAGAACTGTAGGAACTTAAAGAACTCATTACTCAGAGGAATTACATTCCTGAGGAGGATCCTGGTTATCCAGGCTAGGAAACAATACCTTGCCAGATCTTTGGGAAGATGGGAAAATAGCTTACTTTTGAGTTTCAGTTTTTGCTTTTGAGTTGAGTTCATCATGCATTCTTCCAAGCAACAATAGAGAAGTGGTTTTTTGCTGTCTTCTTTGGATCAGTTTCGTTCGTTTTGATTTTTAAACTTCTCAGTCTAGTCTACATCTCTGAAATTTCCAATCTTGCTTGTTTTTTTCAAGGTCAGTGCAGCTGGTCCCCTTTGGAAAGAATGCCCACCAAATTTAGGGAACCAGTTTTCTTAAACCTACTTACAGAGTCAAGGATTAGAAGATTTTGCCTGTTTGCCTATATTTAATGTTGGTGAAATACTTTCCATTGATTTTATCAGCTGGAGTCAGAGACCGTTTTGTCCCAGAAAAAAAATAGTTTGTCAAACTAAGGTCACTTAACAACTGAATAAGCTTCAGAAAGAAAGAAAAAAAAAAGTACTGCAAAAATATCCAGGCAACATATTAACTTCCAAATTGTACTGTGCTTAAAAATAACTTCCTTATCTCTATTCTACCAATATAATTTCCTTTTTTAATACAACGTCCTTATATATTATTTGTATTCTGCAATGTATTATTTGTATTGTACAAGAAAACAATTTAGGGGAAAATATAGAATTAAGAGGAAGAACAGGGAACTTGGTTGCTAACTTAAAAGACAAATTTGGAAGTTAGCAACAAATTCCAATCCCCTGTACTCCCTCTTAAATCTGTTATTGGACTGCACAGGACAGGACTTCAAAATAAAGGAATATTTTCAAACAGAGGACCGTTCTATTCCTGCAAAGATGGTTCCCAGCAATAATTCTCACACTTCGCTAGTTAAGGGACTCCTGGGAGTTGGCGTCCACTCATCTTAAAATGGCTAAGGTTGAGAAACAATGCTATAGACCAGGGGTCCCCAACCTTGGCAACTTTAAGACCTGTGGACTTCAACTCCCAGAATTCCCCAGCCAGCATAGCTATAGACCCTGCTATAGACCCTCATCCCTAAACAAGTGCAAGGATGCTTCATTCCTAGCCCTAAGATTTTTCCTCTGATTTTTCTTCTCCTCTGAAAGAAATTTTCAAAGCAGATTTTTTTTAACAAAGTCAGAAACAATAGATAGAACAAAAAAAAATATATTTTTTGTTAAGCACGGAAGTAATTACAGCACTTCACCAAATGATAACCAAATCAGCAGGATTGCATATCTTACTTACTCCTAGGGTGTATTTCTCCTAGTTCTAGTACAAGCCTGGGAACAAAGCTATTAGCTGCCTCCCCTCCTCAACACACCCAGTTTTTTTCTGTGCACCTTTCTGGCTCCAGCGAACCTGTTTGCTGTTCCTGGGCCCAATCCACTGTACAATCACTCCCAAAGAGAAGGACGAGTTATCCAGTACGAGAAATCTGGAGCATGTGCTTCATTCTTCATTGCTCATGTTTCAAAATGCATGCATTTATTATTTTATTTATCTATCCTATTTAGAAACCGCCCATCTCCCTCACTGGTGACTGGGTAGTTTTTAGTATAGGGACAAGGGCTGTATGTAGGATAGAGACAGAGAATAGCCTGTTTGACATATTCTCTCTGGTTTCCATTAAATCCCAATAAAAGATGGATACCAGGAAGAAAATTCCACTGATTAATTGTTTTCACTGTCAGGAAATTCCTCCTTAGTTCTAGGTTGCCTCTCTCTTTAACAAGTTTCCATCCGTTGCTTCTTGTCCTGCCTTCAGGTGCTTTGGAGAATAAGTCCACCCCTTCTTCTCTGGGACAGCCTCTCAAGTATTGGAAGACAGTTATCATTGTCTTCCTGCTCTATCATCGCTGGTTCTTCTCTTTGATAGGCTAGTCACACCTAGGTCCCTCAACTGTTCATCATATGTTTTAGCCTCCTTTATCATTCTTGTTGCCCTTCTCTGCATGTTTTTCAGGGTCTCCATTTTTTTTATTTTATTTTATCGTGGTGACCAGAATTGGATGCGGTATTCCAAGTGTGGCAACGAAAAGCCAAACTCAGTTGGTGCCCAGTGTACATGCAGCATTTTTTTTCTCCTGTTGTTGAGTCAAGTCAAGTCACAGACAGATCAATAGACTGCTGGCCAAGTCAAAGGTATAATTTTTGAAATCCTCTCCTCTGCCACCGGGCTTCATCAGAGACTTTGCGCATGGGTGAAAAGGCACTGATCCTGATCACCAGCCGGCTGCAGCCCCAACACTAGGAGGACTGGATTCCAATCACCTCCACCACAGCCTATTATGCATGGATTATTGACTACAAGAAACTGTGAAAAGTGACCCTTCCGTTTTCCAGGTCATTGGACAGCTAACAAATCCTCCACGTGCTATTCAGTAGCACAAGACCCATCTCTAAACAAGTCCTCCCCTGCCACCGAATAGGACAGCCTGTCTAATACAATAATTAGGATTTCATATCATCTGAAGCTGAGGAAAGGTTATCGGAAGTGATGTCTTTTCCAATTAGCAGGCAGAGATGTGCCATTTTACACTAAATGTGTGTCTTCTTAACAAGGCCGAGATTTGTATTGGCAAGCGAGGTGCTCTTAAGAATGCCTTCGGTATGGTTTTTAACTGAGTGCAGTTGTAATAGCAACAACATTGTCCAGACTGCGCCGATTAAAAGCCTTGCTTAGCCACAAAGTTTTATGTTAGTCTGCTTCCTAGCAAAGTCTTCCCTGCAGGGTTTCTGTAACGGCCGAGGGAAACTCAGATTCATCACTGTGAACTATGTGAAATAAGGGTTAATAATAATAATAATGATGATAATGATAATAAAACAAACAAACCATAAAGAGCAAAATGAGATCATTTGAGATAAGATGTAGATTTAGTTTCAAGAGAGCATCTGAATCTCAAGGACAGGGGAACTGTGTGGTTTTCAGAGTTTTAGGATTACAATTCTCAGCCTCCCTGAGGATTGGTCTTTTCCGTTGGGGCTGATGGAAGAGATTCAACCATCCCTAGAATGCTGCAGGTTCAACGGTCAGAGTTTTAAAGAGCTTTCCCTCAAGTGGATGCCCTCCAGGTGTGCAGGAGGTTGGGTGGGTAAAAATGTCCAGAAAGCAGCAGTAACTGTCCAATTGAAGCTGCTATCTTGGTTTTTCTGGCTGCCTTTCCCAATGCTTCTAGCTGGACTTAGTTCGCTATAATCCTTTGTACCCAAAACATCTGGAGGCACCATTTTGGGAAAGGCTGGTAGCCAGCAGAAGAAGGTTGCACTAGAAATGATGATAGAGTCTTCCAAGAATCCCCAAATAACCTGTACAGGAAAGTCCCTGTCTTATGGCCATCATTGGGACTGGAACTTTCATCATGACTTGTAATCATTTGTTTAGCAACCATTTTAAGCTACAACAGTGTGGAGAAAAGCCTTGTCCTCCCACTTACTACTGGTCCTCACACTTATAACCATCACATCATTCCCCACCCCAAAGTTGTATGATCCCAATTCAGGCCCTTGGCAATCGGCTCACATTTACAACTGGTTGCGGTCATGTGATCAAAATGTGCAACCCGAGGGTTTGTGGCATTCAGTTTATGACCACAGTATTTTACTTAGTGATTGTCGTTAAAATGGTCCTAAAATTGGGTCCAACTCTACTTATGACTGCAGTGGCTTAGGATGGAAATTCCAGTCTCAATTAGAGTCATACGTTGTAGGTATGGAGTCATACCTACAAACAGAGTTTATCTTGGATTCCAGGACAATCACTAATAGAATGAAAGTAGATTAAAACACTAAAGTTTTCTTAAATCGGGTGTCTTCATTCTTCCATTAAAATGTTAATTTTAGAAGTATCCAACTCTGTTGTTGAGTCATATTTTCATGTTTCGAGCACGTCTGCAGTCGGTGAATGCAATGAAAAATAGGTACGATAACTCGCTTTTCCTCTTTCGCCTTGGGATGGTGGTTCAGCAGCCAAAAAGTACAAATGCATCAGCTGCACGTGATGAACAAAACCACAGCAGAAGAAAAAAAAAATATCTCAGCTCTACGTTGGACAAAAGAAAGCTGCTTCTCCTAAAAATATTAAATCCAGAAGCCAGATGGAAATCTAAGCAGCTTTAATAGAACACTGATAGGTGTGAGCTGCAACGGATTCTGAACCATTTGTCTTCCAGGTGAAGAAGAGAAATAATTTTTCAATTATCTCTCTTAAGTCCTCCGAAGATGTTGGGTTACATGAATGAGAACTGAGAACAAGCATGATTAATCTTGCAAATTGCTCAATCGCTTGGTCTCTCCAAGTAACTGGGCAATCTGTAAGATATAAATTTGTGAAGGTGTCTTTTTTCAAGCTGTTCATTTCTGGCCCACAGCACTTTCTCTGAAATCAAGCCAGGAACAATGACCTATATATGATTACATCAAGATTGAGACAGAACAAACCATTATTTCTTTCATCAGTCAGAATTTCTCACAGAGGATGTCTTCATTTGTGGTGCCCATTCTACTGCTAAGGTGGACTCAAGCCACCCAATTTCCCCAGCCACAAACTGAGCAGAGAATTTCAAAAGCTCGTCCCAACCGTAAGGGAAGGACATGGGTTAGGACAGCAACCCAAGACATTTTGCTACTTGTGGTAAAATACAAGATG